AAATAAATGAATAAAATAATTAATTTATAACAATTTAATTTAATAATTTATAACATTATCATATTAAAATGGAGACACCACATAGAGGACAGGATCAACAAGGCACATCGGTGCTGGGCGATATGTAGGAGAACCATAGGCATGAAATGGGGTCTTAGTCCTACTATGACAAATTGGCTTTATAAGAGTGTAATTAGACCAATTCTAGCTTATGCTTCAATAATCTGGTGGACTGCTTTGGACAAAAAGTGTAATATCAAACTACTACAGGGAGTTCAGCGTACATGCTGCTTGGGTATAAGTGGTGCCATGTGTACTACTTCAACCAAGGCTCTGGAAACGTTGCTAGATATTCCACCCATTGAAACATATATAAGATATGAGGGGGCGCTTACGGCCGAACGGCTCTTTGCTTTAGGCGAACTGGCCAAAAACGGTTATAGGACACGTCATCAATGTATATTGGACACATTGGAAGGTTATACACATTCATCGGACGTGCCAGATCGCATACCAGACACAGAATATGTCGGAAACTTTGAAACGCTAATCCCAGATAGAATGTCTTTGTCAAGCGGAACATTAGAGCAAATACCAGTAGGAATCCGTTGCTACACGGATGGCTCTAAATTAGGGGACAAAGTGGGCCTGGGGTTCTATATTGAAGACCTAGAAACAGAAATATACCATCGTTTACCTAATCATAACACAAGCTTCCAGGCAGAAGTACGAGCAATAACGGAATGTGTAAATTGGATTAGAATAAATATGGCGCCCACAGGGCTTGATATATTTACCGATAGCCAGAAGGCAATTAGGGCGATATCAGGTGATAGAATTAAATCTAAAACCGTATTGGATTGTAAGAAAGCTTTAACTGAATACTCTCCCAGAGGTAAGGTTTACATCATATGGGTACCAGGCCACTCGGGAGTGGTCGGCAACGAAAGGGCGAATGTAATAGCTTTAAAGGGAAGGGAGCTCGATGTAGTTAACCTGACAAACGCGAAACCATTCGACGCAACAAAAGCTGAATTAAAAATATAGATGAGAGAATCCCATAAGGCCTCTTGGAATAATGAAACGGTGGGTAGAACCACAAAGATTCTCTGGGGTGACCCTGATGAAAGCAAGACGAGAAATCTCTTCAAAATGAGCAAGTCTGAGGTTGGTATGATGGTACGTATTCTGAGTGGACCACAGGATTACGTGCACATCTATAAAAATTGGGCGTGCGGATTCAGACGAATGTAGAGCATGTGGATTAGACAGTGAAACTCTGGAGCACTTTCTTTGCCATTGTCAGGCGTTCGTCGAAGTTAGATCCAAGTATCTTGGAAGTGATGTTATTCCGGAAATAACATTCTTAACCAACACCGATTGGAAGATTCTTAGGAATTACGTCCAGGAAACTGAGTTTCTGAACATGGAAAAATAATACATGTGGCCTAGGTGTATTTCTTCGAATTTGATGTAGTATACATCCTCCTATCAACCTAACCTATAACATATCTAAAGAATGTTTAAATGTTTTAAAACAATTTACTATTTCTTAAATAACTTTTAAATAAACCAATAAAATGGCGAACACTGATTTAGATAATAGAGGTTAATAGTCATCTCTTCTAAACATGTGTTTTAGTTTTGAGGTTTACAAGTAAAAATGCTGTCACACCGAAATTAATGAAAATATCTCAAAAAGACCCGAATTTTAAGTTATGACTTTCTTTTAATAAATGAAAAATGTGTTTTTTAAAATAAATCCATGAAATTCTTGCAAATTCTTAATTCCTTTAATACTCTGATTCAAAACACTTGACATGAATTTTTATCACACACTAATTAAATAATTAATTGCGCACATTTTCATAAATGATATTTCTCATACATATTTACTAAATAATATAATTAATTTTAGTTCGAACAATTGAACTTCGTACGAATGTTGCACTTAGCATATACGAAAATAAGAACAAAAGACAACGATATGAATGAATACTATATTCATAAAATGAGATGCTAAACAGTTCAATGTATTCTTGTGATCGGTTAAGAGAAAGGAATAATAAAGAAGAAAAAAAAACAGCAACTTGCCTCTCTACTAGACGTAGAAAACCCAAATAACTTGGCGCACCACAAAAGCAGCAGCAATAGCAAAAATATGTGTGAACCAGACTGACAAATAAAACTGATAACAAAGAACTTTTGCAACACAAGCAATGACAACAACAACAACACTTGCATAAAGAATGTATGAATATTAGTACAAGAGCTGTCTTCCATCTCTGACATTTCATACTCATAGTGCTGCATGGCGGTCCATGTAAAATAGACCAGAGCTAAATACTACAAAAAAAAAACTTATCTCTATCGCCAGCCAGTCAACAAACTGGCCTAGCAAGTCAGCCAAACATCTTTTGTCAGCTAGACCATTTCATAAACACATACTATTACAGTGTTGGGCTCTTGCTATTAGAACTTTGTATTTTTTTTTGTTTATATTTTTATTTTCTAAGTAAAATATGACTAAATTAATTTAAAATTCTTGGTATGTTGTTGATAAATTTATAAAATTAAAAATTATTTTGTGAAAATATGAGTCGAATCTTTTATAAAAAGATCGTCCGATGCCATCAAAACATGTGTCATTAATTTAAAGTTGATTTCAAAAGGTATAACATATAAATTTAGGTCTTTATAGATCGATCCTTAAGGTATTTATTGCCACGTTTTAAATATCTATCAGATTTTCATCAGAATGATTTTCGGAAAGGCCTTTTATGGGTACCTGGAGCAATAATGGGAATGAATTAAGAACAAATCATTTTTATGAAATTGAATTTTAACACCATAGTTTTTAACTGTTTATTGCCAATAATTTTTCTGTATTTTCCTGGACATAATTCTATAGAATTTTCTAATCGGTAATCCTACGGTAATTAATATCTGGAATAGTATTACTCTCAAGATATTTCGATATAATTTCGTTGAAAATCTGACAATGACAGAGAAAGTTTCCAGTGAGCGAACATTTTGACACATTTTGCCTCCCGGGCTCCTCCAGATTGGGCACCATCTTGTTGGTGGTACAATGAAGATTTAAGTCGGTCGAGATCTTTACACATGTCCTGTGTACTTTAATTTATAAGAGTCCAATACTTTTCCATAGACCGAAGTTCTGCACAGTTTTGTGGATTAAACTCTCATGGTACAAAATTGTCATTATTGTTTGAATACCACTTAGAAGCCTTTTTTCCCTAGTGGCATGATGCCAAATCGGTCCAGAAATATGATATATGTTTTCCCAGACACTCCGTAATAGATATTCCTGTGGTTATCGAGCCTGATGTCATATTTTTTATCAGGTATTATTGTCGAACATTACCACGTCCATAGGTCGCATACAAATCTTGATCCGGAAATTGTAAAAAGCTTTCCAGTACAAAATGTAGTCATACATCTCGCAACTAGTGCATTTTTTGCATCCTCTTGCGCCCTTCTTTACCACATTGATCTGGAACTTTCTGAACTTTGTACGACTTATATGCAGCATTAGCTTTAGATCTGCGCACAATAGAACCAAATCGGTCCAGAAATATGATATATGTTTTCCCAGACACTCCGTAATAGATATTCCTGTGGTTATCGAGCCTGATGTCATATTTTTTATCAGGTATTATTGTCGAACATTACCACTTCCATAGGTCGCATACAAATCTTGATCCGGAAGTTGTGAAAAGTTTCCCAGTACAAAATGTCGTCATACATCACGCAACTAGTGCATTTTTTGCGTCCTCTTTCGTCCTTCTTTACCACATTGATCTAGAACTTTCTGAACTTTGTACGACTTATATGCAGCATTAGCTTTAGATCTGCGCACAAAAGAATCAGAGCAGCATACTTTACGAGCTGGTTTTCTATTTTACCTAGACTGATCCTGATGACTTAGGATTTAAAGCTAATGTTATCAAAAAGATTATAATTTGTTGGACCAGTCCTTATATCATATATTGATCCAAGTTTTAAATAAAAAATGTATCCATGTAGCCTTTTGAAAATGAATTAAAACCGAACTATAGAAATCGGTAAATCTCATCGCAATTCTTATTGATCTAGAGTTTACCAATAATAAAAATGAACAAAGAGGTTTTAAATTTTAAAATACAAAATTTTTCATTGTATTTTATTTAAAATCTATACCAATAGTTATAGCAAATACTGTTCCATTCCTGCACATACAATATTTTGACCGGTAGAAGAAAAAGAAAAGTGCGTAGTCGCATATATTTTTGCCTCGATTCTCTTTGTTGTTGTTTTCATTGTTTTCTTTTCTAAATTGTGGAAATATTTATACATTTAACAACATCATCATCATCAGCATTTTGCAATACGAAAGTTTAAAAGATAAACTCGTGTAAAGCAAGAAAAACAAACGTTTTCCTATAAATGAAAATTTCTTTCCTGTTTCTTGTGACTTCGGTTGCACGGGCGGCAAATTGTTAATTTATTAATTTACACACTCACTCTCAACAAAAGTCACAAAAAACAAAAAAAAAAAAAATACATTTACGACAATTCTGCACCTTTACTATGACAACGAATTCTGGCATTTTGTTCAGTTCCTTGTAAAACATATAAAAAACCGGCGCCGACTTCATTTCTTTTATTTATATATTTTGAATAAAATATTTTTCTTATTAAGCGGGCAGTTTATTCGAAAAGTTTCCTCCTAGAACACGCTTAGTTTCGAAATAAATTGTTAATTTTAATATTTTTTTTTACCAACATTCATCTAAATATTTGTGAAATTGTTGTAATAATTTTGGAATTTAGTTTAAAAATGTTATTTCAAAATATATTTAGAAATGTTTATAAGATGGGTAAAAATTATGATAAAGGTGAACAAATGATGAAAAAAATTAATAAATTTAATTTTAAATATTATTAAGCTATAAACAATAACTTAATTAAAACTTTTGTTTTTTATTACTTTCCACTAG